CATTGCACGAGTCAAGGGTAATAATAGTGGTAGAGTCGCTGTCAATGCTTTTAACCGAATTGTAAGCTGGCATCAGTGGCATCTTGTGCTCAGGTAGATCTGACATCGACGGGAAAAAAACTACCTTTCACAAAGTAATAATAGTACAGTCCTTCTCAGGCAGTGGTGCCCTGTGAGAAGAAATGGCCACAGAATCTAGAAAGATCCATATGTCATACTGATAGCAAGTGGCGTTCAATGTTATGATACCGATAAGTTGAGGGGCTTGCCATACACCTCATACAACTCTAGCGAATTGAAATTGTGATAAATCTAACTACATACTTACAGAGTACCACTGCTATTTAGCCTATTCGAGAAAACAAACCTGTCCGACAAAGGCTCACATACTGCCATCTCCAGACATAAACTGCCCACTGGAAGATCAGTTTTCGAAGTATCCTTCAACTCAACATGGGAAGGTGGGCCACCACGCTGTAAGCAGGCTATGGTGACTGACTGTAGCTGTTACAAAAGGGACATGTCTGTTCAAGTTACTTGAACAGGCACCAGTCACAATATGAGCACATCATTTTTCCTTGTGGCAAGCCCAGGCTTACACGCACTTCATGTGTGGCAAAGACAAGTCTGGGCTTTTGATTGGCCTCAAGCTACTGTAGTTTTCTAGATGCAGCACTGCAAGCTGTTGACTTTTATCACCTTTCTGGAATTAACCTGATCTGCGCTACTTCAAGACTCTTTGCTAATGTACGACATTTGACAAATCAACCTGAAGGATAACCTTATAATGTGCTAAGTCTGTAAGAACGAAGTTGAACCGAGGCATCTTTGTGCCCATTCTGGAGTACACATTGCGCAGGCCTTGTTTGGCGCTGATTTTACGGTGAGTTTGATCATTCATTGAACTTCTGTACCATACTGAAGTAGCGTAGTTAAGCAAGGACATGCCATGTAGTTTCTATTGCCAGTCAACAAAATCAGGACTATGCCGTACTGCACTGGAGCGCCGCAGCCGCAACAAAAAAGTCACAATGACGATGTGTCCAGCTGGACAGAACAGCGCAAATTTTCAGCATTCGGCTGCAACCAAATTGACAAAGTCAAGCCCTTCCACTATTGTGCTGATTGCCCACTGTGTGTGTCAATGGGTCCAACAATCATTATCTGGAAATACAATGTATTGCAACATTTTCGAGGGGCGCACGGTCATCATGACTTGCGAATAGCTCACCCGAGCGCGTTACACCATTTTTATTATCGATAAAGGAGTTGGAATTTTTGAATATCTTTCGCAACAATGTTCCCTCTTATCTGCTGGTTAATTGAGACTAACCTTCTTAGGAAGACTAATAAATGTAATGGAATTACTTAGGATGCGTACGTGGTACAAGTAATATATTTCTACGCAGGTTCAACACAGGTTGCACTCTAGGACGCAGGCTCTACAGCTAATGAAAAATGTTGATCGAATTGAATTGAGGCCGGGCTCGTTAGCTTTAGCGTGAATTTTGGTACAGATCTGAGCAAAACTGAGATGCTATCAAGCAGTTTATGCCCCGGACCAGAGCGAAGTGCAATAGATCCGGCGATCACGTTTTCGGCAAAACTGGCAAGTCACGTTCTGGCGCTGCTATTTCTGTGCCGAATATCCCTTGGGATAGCGAGCCGTAAATAGTGCAAGTAAATTTAAGACAACGTCGCCAATGGCCATCGCATATACTCCTGGTATGCATCCTGTTTTTTCATTCAAGCCTGCTTCTTTGCAGCCGATTCTGTCAAAGAGTGGCGCGGTTTGTCAACTTTGACAGTCGTCCCTCGGCACACGCCGATATCGGATAGCTCCCAGCCTTATGAAAGAAGTAACCAATTCTTCACCCTAGCGACGGCTGTCCTTTCAGAGGGTAAGTATGAGCCTCGCTACCTATGTAAAATATACTCAGAAGCCTACAACGCCGGCAAGCAACTGTCCGTGTGTTCAATTGGGTGCACGGTCGTCCTCCAGCTATTACCTTCCAGCATTCTACGTCAAACACAGCCTTGTAGCGAAACTCTTCTTATTACAACTCGATAGCTTGCAAGACAAAAATAAGACGCTAATATTCAAAATCACAGTCTCATGTGTTTAACCAACTCGGCTGGAAAGGATGCGTTATCGGCACGAGGCCCATTTTGACCTGAATTCCCCGAGGGAGGCTGAGGCTCTTACTAGCATCGCTCCGTAAGATGGCAACGCTCCCTCTCAAATTGTCGGCTGCGCTACAGTCTTCATTCAATTTAAATGGATATTCAGTACTACTACGCGGGAAGCCATGGGGCAGCGGCGGAAGATCAAATCAAGAGATTCAAGCAATAGGTACAGGACAAGCAAACAAATGCGAATTAGAGTTCATTAACTCAAACTCATGAATAGAGTAGTACACAACAGATGCCTCTAATTTAGAGACGGAATGTAAAACTAGTACAGGAAGAGAAGAGGACCTCGAGCATCGAATCAGAAGGATGCGCGATGGTAACAGAAATACAGCCAACGATTAACAGGAAATGTGTGAGACAGTTAAGGCGAACAGATCCAGAGTTTACATAGTTGGAAGAAGGAAATCGATTGTATGGCGGGGGCGATATTTTCGCCGGAAGGACATATACGGGTAGAGGAAGGTGATTGCGAAATGATTGCGAAAGTACGGAGGAAAAAGATAGAGTGAAGAAAAAAGGGCGCAGGAACGAATTGATTTCTACTATCGTTTTCGCTTCTTCTTTCCCGCCTCGGAGGAGCTCGCCATTGACGGCGTAGGAGGACGTTTCTTGGAGGACGTGTTACGAGGCGTATACGGACCTCCTACCGCACCGGTAGCGCTTGGACCATCGGCAGTAATCATCAGTTCATCGACAGAGGATGATGTCGATTCGGACCTCGCTCTATGAGGCTGTCGATATTCCACCTTGACCCCTTCTTCTCCGTATCCTTCTTCGTTATCTAGATCCTCTTCAGCGTAGTTTGGCCTGCTATCGGAGGCTTTCCGAGGAAGTCTCGATCGCGAACGGGAAGCCTTTCTCCCTCCACCTCTAGTCCCTGTGCGCCCTTTTCTACCCGTAGAAACTGAACTTGGACCAGCACGGGGAACTTCCTCTTCTTCTTCCTCTTCTTCTTCGTCACCAAACAAATCCCACGCATTCTGCGTTCTGTACTTAGGCTTATCGATTGCCCGACCACCACTTGCATTGTACACAAAATTGAGAGGTCCACTCAGACCTTGCTCCTCCTCCTCTTCGTCTAGTTCATCATCTTCATCATCCTCTCCGTCCTCCGGCCGCTGATTTCCGTCGTATCCATCTAGATGGTCGTCCTCACGCTTAATGATAAACTGATGGTCGCTGACGCGACGCAAGACACGCGTGCGAGTGGTACTGCGTTCCAGAACAGCTTTGGATGATGAAGCGACTGCGCTATGGAGCCGAGGTTCTGGCTCAGGATAGACAAGTGGCGAAGGGGACGAAACGATATCCTGCAGGCTTTCTTCTTCCGCGTCTTCTTCAGCATCGAGGTTGATCGAATGTGTAGGCCGGGCTCTAGGGGCTTTCTTGCTCTTGGTAGCCGAGTCAATAGCCTGGATAGTGAAGTGATTAGATTGTTAATGGAATGATAGAAGACAACATACTCTAGGGGCATCTAAAGTCCTTGCCAATGTTGACGGCTGGGAGGTTTTGGGTGTTTTTGACACCTTGAATACGTTAACTGTATTGGTGCCTGCTCGTCTCTGAGCATTGGCGGTGGAAGAGTTCCCCGCATTGGCATTAGCCTTCTGCGAACGTCTTTGAATCTGAGCTGGTGATTCCGACGAACTGAGGCTATTTGTGCTGTCGTCTTGATCTGCGTTTCGAGAGCTGGATGCTGGAGTGAGTGGTGCGACAGGCAGTTCTTCGGATTTAACCTTCTGAGCGACAAATCCGCGTTCTCGAAGCTCCTCCATCTTGGTGGCGAGAATCCGTCGTTCTTCCTCTGCCTTCAAGAAAAGGTCCTGCCAGTGTCGAGCCTGATCCTTCCATTGGGAGGTTTCCCGGCGAAGGTGATTCATCTACATGAGATTAATGAGACTGAGAATCCATACGTTCTTGAGGTCTAGATTGGAACGCACACTAGACTCGCACTTCTCAAACTCGCTTTTCCAATCACCAGTCTCCAGCTGCGCCTGATGCAGCAGCTTGACTGCCTGGTCCCTCTCCTTTCTCGCCTCATCCAGTTCCGACCGAGTTCGCCGCATCTCGTCCATCAATGCGCCGTGTTCTTTTTTCGCACTTTCGCTCTCAACTCGAACACGTTCCAACTCGGATTTAAACCAGTCGCGCTGGCTCTTAGCGTCCCTTCTCGCTTCATCAACTTCTCGACGTGAATCTTCGGCTTTTGCAAGCAAATGCGAGAGGCGATCTGCATTAGTCTCGAGTTTGGCTCTTTCCCCAGCCCACTATGCAAAGAAGAATGTTGAGTTGAAATCGTAAAGGAAAGCAACTCGAGACCCACTTGCTGCCGCGATTCATCTGCCTTGCTGAGCAGATCATTCAGACGCAGAATATCGGCTTGCTTCGCCTCGAGCTAGATAATAACTGAGTAAATATAATTGGATTCCAAGAGTGTCTGCTCACATTTCGATAAACCTCCTTCGAAAGCGAGCTAAACATTGCCTCTACGGTATCGCGTCCCGTCACCGCGTTGGCCATAGGAAATTCCTCCAGGTAATCTGAAAGCTCGATGAGCGACTAGAGCCAGTGCGCTTCGCGTAACAGCTCCTCGTTGAACACAGAAAATCGCGTGGTCGGGTAGTTTTGGGGTGGCTCGTGCCAGTAAGAGGGTTATATTGTCGTTTACAGGGATAAAATTGACTCTCAAAATATGCTGACGATAATGCAAGTGGAAGCGCGAGCGAAAGATAGGGAACAAAATTAAAATATTCGAGACTGACGTAAGCATGTTTGCTCACCATTACGTTTAGGCATCAATTCGTCATGGCCGACTAGCTCAGTTGGTTAGAGCGTCGTGCTAATACACTAGCGTTAACGCGAAGGTCTTGGGTTCGATCCCCACGTTGGCCATATAATTTTTGTAGCTACAATGTTACTGTACAACTCTAAGATTTGTGTTTGTACTGTACTTTTTCTAATGATTAACAACTTCATTTTCACAGTTAATTTTTCGAACCCCGTCTAAATTGACCTCGGTTTATCTCAAGTGCGTCTGGTGCCGAAAGCCGCCTGTCAAAATGTGTCCCCCGCACGATGAATGATGAAAGATCGACGGAATTTTGAATCCTATTGGGATTACGGCGTGGTTGAGTCTCCATCGCTGCGAACGTCATGGTTTCTCGGGGTGGGCCTTCTGACTCTGCATCCTCGTAAATCGTAGACGTCGACGCTTCGCTCATGGTGGCCTCCGTGTCGAACGTTCTCTGCGTGTAATCAGAAGCGCCATCAGAAAGCACGTTAGTTTTCATATCCTTCCCCGGTCTTCTGATATCGAGGACGCGGTCCGGATCGTAGACATGGTTGAATAGAACGCTTCCTTCGAGCGGCTTGGGGTGCACAGCTTCCGGCGTGGTAAGCTTGACATTGTTCGCGCTCCAGGTCGTGCTCATGTTCCTAAACTCAAGGCTTAACGAATCTGAACTTTGCGTCGAGAGATGTGGAACTTTGAAGCGGATCTTGGTACCTGTAGTGGTGTCATAATTTTGCCGAGTATTTGCGATAGTTTGATCGTCCTTTTTCGAGCCGTACCAGGATACCCAGAAAAGCGCAAACGCGTTCACGGTGATCTGCAGGCGAAAGAAAATGTCAGCCCAGGGCTTGAATTCAAGAATTCATACGAAATGACTTACATCCGCAGCACAGGTGGTGAGACAGATCCAACCCAATTCTCTTCCTTCAAGAAGAGCCAAAATCAAGACATTTGCAGTCGAGGTTGAGAGTGCAACAACGGTCGCCCTAAGTAGAGTATGAGAAGGATTCGAACGAAATAGCTGGGTACTCACCAGAACGTCCGCACAGCGACTTGTCTTATGAACGCATTTCTCAACGTTGACTGGAAAATGGGCCAAAGGAAGAGCGCAGTAAAAACTACAGTTGTAGCAACATCGTAGGCAAACACGTAGTATGAGGCATCGTGTGCGAGGCCAATGATGCATGCACCATCACCTGAGCGAAAAATGTGGCGGCTATCTGGAGAACAAGTGAGTGTTGATCCATGCTAGCCACGGCGGAACCTACTTATGAGCATCACAATCCCTGGGAACATGTAGATGACAACCACTGCTATGCAAAGACGGTACATCGGGGAAGCAAACCGCGTTTGGCCCCTAGACCAGACTACGTGTACTCTCTCCGCTGGAATGAACCGATTAAGTTGAAAGAGGCGCAAGAAGGAAAAGTGTACGCACCGAGAAATAGGTAAATGAAGACCTTAGCTGATCCGTAAAACACCGTACAAACATGTCCTGCGGTGGCACAGGCTGCGTTACTGAATTCAAGTGCGAATCCAAAAGTCAAGGTATGGACTATGTGGAAGGGCCAATCGTTAGAAGGCGACCTGTGTCAAATACCTTGGCATACGTACTGGAGAATACAAATAGCCACGAATTTATGAAAACCATTATCAAACAAAATCGAGCAAATGTGATGCTTCTCAGGCCTGTGCATGTCCATCGTACTGGGGCAAGTGAACGCGAAAGACAATGAGTGATGACAGTCATCCCTGCCAGTTGGAGAGGAAAGACCAATTAAGTACTTCTTCGTGATCGTGCGGCGATTGTAGGTCTACTTACCTAGAGCCAAAGTCAACGACACTAGTACTTGCAGACCTTGGGACGGAAACTCGCTCGATGTCGAAGGCATAATTTTGGGTGAAGAAGATGATCTTGACGGTCTGTAATCTACGCACTTGCCTCATCCTCGGCGAATGCCAGTAAATATAATTGGGGGGGCTAGGGGTTGTCTGAGATGGCCTTGCAAAGGATGAGCGGAAGTAGGACCAAGGCCAGTTCGGGAAATCCGCTCCCCGATCTGGAAGATACCTATGGAGTCCCTGCAAAAGTTCCCCACGGTATGCTAGAGAGATCCGACGAGGAGCTTGGTCGACCAAGAGCAAGAGCTACTGGCACTAAGCACACGATATGAGATGCGAGTACGCTACCGCATGGCAGCAATCCAAGTCCTTCCTTAATACCATTACTTACTCCTGTCTAACTCCGATAAAGATCAGGGAAAACTTAAAGCTTCAGAAAGAATACACTTAATAATAATCGAATCTAGACATTCGAGGAATTCGGGAGCGGCTTTCGCAAAGAGTGAGATTATGTCCGTACGTCTTTTTTTGCGACAGTGAGCAGCTACGAGACTAAGCGCCTCCTTTTTGATTGGACTGGGAAGCCTATCAGCGTCTATATTTATTTCTTAACTGATTAACCGCTAAATTGTCGAGTATATGCGTAAAAAAGATACCCCACAGACATTTGCCAAGAGCGGAAATAATCAAGGTTCAGTAAGCTTGGTAAACTTGGCTTTGCGTGATCATCTTTCTAACAAAAACGAAGGTGTGTATATTGTATTGAGCTGTGTTGAACTTGTCAACGAGATTGACTTTCCTCGGGCGCCGAATCTATTTGAATCGACCTATGCGTTCTCGCCTCCAAATGACCATGTCTGCGTCCTTTTTTGGCTAGAACTCACGGAAACCGTTTACGGCATTAGGCATACTTCTCGATAGATAGCTGAGTTCTCAGGCTCTCAGGCTCTGTACAAAGTCATGAGACCAAAAGATTAAAGTCAGTTAGACCTTAAGGACGCTGTATGAGTGCTTATCAGAAGTACTGAATGAAAGTTAGGAGCTCGGAACCCAGTGAATCGCATGGAGCTACCTACTAATCAGTAAATGGTACAAGTAAAATTCAGGTGGAGGCAAAGTAACTTCCATGTCAGCTCGGAGCTTCGCTTTGGTCCTGCACCTGTTGCCGGACCTCCTGAGAGGCGGTCTCGTGGTCCCAGCGCTGCCCTTCCGGTGCTACAAATACTGAGGACTGGAAAACTCAGTGGTGAAAGTATGCCTCTTTCTTCCTCCTCCCAAATACTTACCTTAGGAGCTATCTTCTTGGCCACCTTTCTACTCCCAAGGTTCCTGCAATAGCGCGCCCGGATGAAAAAAGTAAGCGGTAACTTTTCGAATAAATTACCGAGACAAAGCTCAACGTCCGGCCAGCTGAATGCCATACCCACCGTTGGCAACTCTGGGATACTCTCCTCGTATATCAGCGCTTGGAGGTTTAAGAACCATGCCCTAGAAATTCTCCAAGAGGGATATGAAAAGGTATGCCGACTATGATCTTTATAGCCCCTGCTGACCCCAGTCTGGAAAAGTATCCCGGACAAGCGTTCAAAGTACCCCTCCCAGATGGATGGCAAGTCATTGTCTCCGGAAAGGCTTTGGTAGACGATATCAAGAAAGCCAACGATCAAGATCTCTCCTTTGAGGACGCTTTAACCAAGGTAATGATACCCATCGCCGTGAAAATTCACTCGCCAGAGCCAATTTGCAGCTTCTGCAAACAGACTATACTCTCGGTCGCCCTGCTCGAACAGATCCATACCACATTGATGTCGTTCAGACACCTCTTACTCGAAATTTAGGAGCTCGATTTGAAGACCTTCGAGATGAAATCAAAGCTGCTTTTGCCGATGAAATTCCTGCCAAAGGTAAACAGAAACAGTTCCAGGCTCTGTAATCTCACGTTTAATGCTACTGAAGAATCGGTATGGATGAAAGTATCAATGCTGTATACTGTCATGAACATTGTCTCTCGAACAAGCAATCGATACTTCGTTGGTACTCCACTTTGCAGAGACCCAGATTATATAGTTAGCGGCTTTCCTATTAGTGTGCATTTCTACTGCTAATTCTCCTTATCCTAGAAACTCAACATCGAGTTTACCATTGATGCTTTCAACGGCGCCCAAACCCTTCAGCGTTATCCAGGCTTCCTGAAACCGTATGTTTTCGTTTGTGAATGCACCCAACATGACGCATGCTCATATTCTTGGAATACGCAGTCTGGTGCGACGATTTTTAACCAACGTTCCTGCTTGTGTTGCACGGGCCACAAAGCATTTGGAGCCAATTATTAAGGAACGACTTCGGAAAGAAGAAGAGTACAGGAGTACCGATTGGCCGGGAAAGCTTGTCTGTGTTCTACAGTCTAATGCATATCATCGACTTTTTGTCCTGACTATTTGCGAGATGTAGAATGATCTTATTTCCTGGCTGCTCGATGAAGCCAACACCGAGGACCGCCGCAAGGACATTGTATACAACATTGTTTCTCGTGTTCTCGCCGTCAACTTTGCTGCCATCCATACCACAGTATGTTTATTCATCTTTCCATATAGATCCGCCTTTTTGTAACAGTCCTACCTTTCGCAGAGTGTCGTGAGTGTCTACGGCAATCCTTTATTCACGCCTACCCCTTGTCATACTCGCCTTTTCTTTTCAAGACTTTCACAAACTCCCTCTATTACTTAGCTGCCAATCCCCATATAGTGGAACCTCTGCGCGAAGAAGTTCAGGCCTGCGTCGAGGAACACGGCTGGACAAAAGCCGGGATGGGCCAAATGCGGAAATTGGACAGCTTCATGAAAGAAGCGCAACGACTTGTTGGCGTCGGTGGATGTTCGTCCATTTTTCTATCTCTTCGTTCTCGTTTGACTGACAATATCCTAGTGGTCATGAGCCGAATGGCGATGAAAGATTTCACTTTCTCTGATGGAACCGTGGTTCCTGCTGGGACGATTGTCCATACGGCTTCGTACGCTCTGCATCATGACGCAGTAAGTTCAAATGACCGGTTCAGGCCATGCTCTCGCGATTCATTCATTTTGTCATAGGATGTGTACGAGGAACCCGAAAGTTTGAACGCTTTCCGATTCTCCAATAAGCGAGTCAAAGAGGGTGAAGGTTATAAGCATCAGATGGTTGCGCAGGATCCCTCGTATGCCTTGTTTGGTATTGGAGGAAAACATATGTGGTAAGCGACAGAGAACATATGTCTACTTTG